GAGCGCTTGCGCGCGCACAGAGTTAGCGTGAACGAGAGAGAGTGGGCGAGAAGGAGTGTGTGTGGCAGTGTGTGGAGTGAGTGAGTGAGCGAGCGGCCAGAGCGAGAGGACCTACAGAGCGCGCGCGACAGAGAGGGAAAAAAGTAAACTTGAAAGCCAAAGAAAAATCAAAGCCAAAAGCTGTTCGAAAAAAACGATACGAAGAAAACAAAAAGCGAAGAAGATGAAGAAGAAGAAGAGGCGCTCAATGGCGTTTGGTGTGAGCGAGAGGGAGCGACATTAAATGCGCTTGTTAGTTTATATTCCCCTACCTCCCTCTCTGTCTGTCACACACTTGTTCTTTTATTTATTTTGGTTTGGATTTATCTGAATGATTATTAATCTACATTTATTATCTTAATTTGAATGCATAGTATTGACAAATATTTAAAGTTTTTTGATTGATATTAAATTTGGTAGTTAATATTTATTATTTAATAGTTTTTGTATTTCAAACGTAGAATTTTAATTTTTAAAATGTTGTTATTGTATTGTATTGTACTTTTTAAATTAATAAAGTAAAACGAGTTTCTTTTAATGTCAAATATACTAGTCTTAATAGATAACTAACTATTATTGGTAACTATTTTCACAAACTGAAAGGAAGCCTTCGAGTTACTTTGCCTTTTTTTTTGTTGGTTGATCGTGTATATTTTGTAATTTTATATATAAATTTAATTGTGCCAAATTTTAACTTAATTTGTTCAACAATATTTGTTAATAATTCCATAATAATATAGGACAATTATGAAATTAAAATATAACAAAAACTGTGCTCAATTTACTAAACATAAACGATATTTAATTCATTTGATTAAAAAAATATATATTTATTATTAAGTTTTCTTAACACTTCTGCGGTTTTACAATTATTAATAATATATTTGTAACTAATACATATGTAACTAAAAACCAAAGGCAGCAACAAAATCATCCTTACAACTACAACAAAACAGATGCTGCGTCTCTTTTTCCGATGAATGATGTTGCGACGACCCTCCTCTGCCGCAGCGCAGGTAGCTGCGGGCAGCGGCCGAAGCAGAGCGCCACACACACACACTCATGTGTGGGGCCAGCGCGTGTGTGTTTGTCGTTGTTGTTGCTGTCCATTGACGTTGTCGTCGTCGTCTGTTTTTCTGCCTTGCCTTCCTTGCTTTGCTTTTTGCTCGCCAATCAAATGGGGCGGGGCTTAAATCGTTTGCTTCGCTTTTTTTTTCCTCGCCTGTGTCTGTCTTGCTCTGCCGCTGCTTCGGCTGGCGTCGCCGCCGCCTGGCTTCTTCTTTGACTTTTTTTGTGACACTTGTGAGCGCGCGCGTGTGTGTGTGCTTTGGATTTGGTTTTGGTTTTTATTACGGGAATTATCGAAAATTGAGAGCGACTTGTGTCACTGTGAGTGATTTTCTTCGTTGAGTGAGTGAGCTTTTTGTGAGGGAGTGGGGAGCTCAAAGTGGCGAAGGGGAATTCGAGTGTTAAGGAAACAGTGAGAAGGAAGGAAATAAGAAACTCGATTTTTATTGCAATTTTTTAAGATTTGCTGTTTACTAGACACAATTATTATAATAAAATGCCAAGAATTTAATATATTTTTTTTATATATACACATTTATTAAATAGAATACCTATAATTTTAACAGAATGTTTTTAAGAATATACAAAATATTTTTATCGTGAATTTAAACCTAATGCATTAGAATTTAACGTGTATTTTCTGTATGTTCTGCTGTGTTTTAATTGTTACCAAAAATAACGAACAGGTAACATAATTTTCCAATTTTCCCGCTTAGAAATTCTCGGCAACTCAACAAGTTCGAAAACTGTTCGAAAATCATTTCGAACTTGCTGCTCGCCCCTGCTCGCGCTTGCAACTGCAACTCAAACGGGAAGAGAGTGTGAGGCAGATAGAGAGAGAAAGAGCGTGAGAGAGAGTGTGGGTTGCGTGAGAGAGTGAGTGAGTGCGTTGGCATTGAGTGATTTCTGTTTCGGTTCTTTGTTTTTGCGCCTGCATTTTTATCCAGTTGGAATTTTGCTGGTTGGCCGACACTTGTCCTGGCATTTTGAGGCATTCCAATTGCATCCCATTGATTGTCAATCGGTGTGAGAGAGAAGGCATTACTTGGGTTACATTTTTTTTTTTATTTTCTTGTTTTATAATGAGTTTCTTAATAATTTTTTTGTTTTGTAAATATAACAGAATTTCGATTAAAACTTTAATTAATTAATTTATATTTTTGTTAAATATCAATCACTGTAAAATATATCTTCTATTTTTACGAATTTTTCAATAAAAAAAAACAACTATTAAAATAAACTAAAAAATTTTTAATTTAACTAAAATATATATTTTTTTCATAGTATTTCTGCTAGGGGGAAGGGGAGCTTAAGGGTTAAGGGGATTTTTCAGCGACGTCGACAGCGAGCATCGTTTTTATTTATTTTTTATTTTGTCTTCGTGTAGGTGGCTGCTGCCCTTTCTCTGGGCCCTCGGTTTTTCGGCCCTCGGCCCTCGGCTCTCCCGTTATTTTCGTTATTTTTCATACAGCCGACGACGACAAAGTCCCCGAGCAGATTTAACCCCCAACCGGCACCCGGACCCCTTCTGGATTTTCCATACATTTTCCCCCATTTTCTCAGATTTTCTCTCAGACTGCAGCAACGCATTCTGCGACTGCGACTTCGGTTCTTGGTTCTGCAGTCCTCCAGTCTCCATCTCCGCCTAAGGTGTAAGCCATAACCATAGCCTCCTTTGCTTTCCCCCTCCCCCCATGGGTGAACGTTGGGGTGTAGGGGGTTAAGACTGGCACTGGGGATGCGTCTGCCTTGCACTTCGGCGGCGCTTCGATACAATTTGAACTTTTCTTTATGCGAAAATCCCGCAACAGCGACGGCGACGGGGCTATTTAATATTCCAAAGGATATTTACAAAGGATAATAAGCGCAGAAAAAGTTAACAAATTTCAAATTTAAGGTGCAGCCAAAGAGGTAAGAGAGTAGAGTGTGGGAAATTGAGGGATTTTAAAAGGGAAAATGGAAGGGAATTTTCAAAACAAAGATCATAAAATTATAACTGGTAGCCTTAAGGTGCAAGCTAGCGAATTTACATAGCTTTGTCTGTTGTTCGTTGTCCGTTTGTCCGTTCTTATATCTCAATATTTCAATATTTTGCTTATTAAACTCAAATAACATACAATTTAAATCTTTACTGTAGCTTTCTTAGTTGTTTAATAAACATTTTTATAAAGAAATAAACTGTTTAAAAATAAATCCATAAATAAATGTATTTACTCATTAAACTTTTACTGTTTTTTACACAATAATAAAAAAAATTACTTAAATTAATTTTAATTTATTTATTAAACAAATACTGCAATAAATAACTTACCAAAGCCCCAATAACAATAATAATTTAAAGGGCATTCTGCTTTAAGCCCTTAAAAAAACCAAACCCCTTAAAAAATAGAACAAATATAAACAATTAAATACTTATATTAAAAATAAATTAATGAAATAAATAAAGAACAGAAAAAATCTAATCCCAAGTTTGGAAACCCTTAAAATCGCAATTCCGAACACGAGATGATTCCCCGAAATCCCCCATCTCCTACGCTCTTTTCCGAAAGCCGCAAAAAAACCGCTCAATTTGCGGCTCAATTTTTAGCCCCCATAAGTTGTTCCCAATAAGAAAGAAGGCGAGCGTGCGAGCGAGTGCGAGTACCTTGAATGAATGAATTTCAATACATGCAACTCTAACAGCGGCGGCGCAGAAAAATACTCAAAAAAAAAAAGAAAAAACTAAAAAAAAAGAAGCGAAAAAAACAACAACAAAAACAAACAAATAGGGAAAAATAAGAAACGAGCTGGGAAAAATCAAAATCTATTGAAGAAATCCAAAGCAGTGGCAGCGGCGCTGAGAAATTGAGTGAGTCTTTCTTGGGGCTCACTCTCTCACACTCGCGCCCTCTCTCGCTCTGGCGCTCGTGTTCGCCTCGGCTCGGCTTGTCACACATCGGTGTGTGAGCGGCAGCACCAGCAGCAGAAGCAGAGCCAGCAGCAGCGCAGCAGGCGAGCGAGCGAGCGAGCCAGTGTGTGTGTGTTAGTGGCGCAAAGCAGCAGCAACGCCGTTGTGCAGGGTTGTCGGCGCTTCGTTAGGGTTCGATTTGTTCAGTCATCAACAGCATTCGTGACTGAAAACGTCGCCCCGTGTGAGAGACGAGACGAGACACGAGACGAGACGAGACGTCCGAGAGTTCGAGCCCAGAGCCCCAAAGAAGGCCCAGAGATTTGAGAAATAATAATATCGCACACGCCGCTTAGCCGCCTACTTCTTCGCGCTCTCCTTCCTTTCTTCCTACCTGCCCGTTATTCCCGGTAGTATTGTGTGTGGTGTGCGCTGCGTATGGTGTGTGTTCTTGGCGCGGCTGAGTGTGTGCGGTGTGTGTGCGACGCGATGTGTGTTAGTTTCTTCGCGGTGTGATCACCATAAAAAAAATATTAAATTAAATTAAATAATCATAATCAATTATAATTATTAAATTCACAAGAAAAAGAAATTCCCCCGAAACACAAAGAAGTTCACAGAATCACTACGAAAATATTACCACGAAAATAATAAATAAAAACAAAGAGAGAAAAGGACACAAGGAAAGAACGCTTTTCGCTGCTTTTTTTTTCAAGTGATTTTTTGTTGTTAAAACCGAAAAATGTGCGCGTGTATTGGTGACAAGTGTAAACAACAAAAGCAACAACAACCTGAGCAACAGCAACAACAACTGCGACCAGCTGAAACATGTGCAAAATAAGCAACAACCACAACATAAACAACAACATCGATGGCTTGAACTTCACACACAACATCAACAACTACATCATCAACAACAACAACAACACCCATCACCATTCAACAACACCCAATCCAACAACACATTCAACAACAACAACAACCACATCGACAACGATAACTCCAACTCCAACAACGTTAACAACAAATCAAAAACCACACCTTTAACTCAACAACAACAAACAAGAAGGCAGAAGAATTCAATTTACAAAAAAAAAAAGAAGTAATAGAAGTTAGAAAGAAGCAAAGCAACACACACAAGTTGGAAATTGGAAATTGGCTTATTTATGTATTTTATGAATTTTTTTGGGCACGTAAAGCAACAGTAACAAATAGAATACTTAAGGTGTAAATGTGATGACAAAACAGTGACAAAGAAACCACTAACAAATGCTAAAACTATAACTAAAACCAAAACTAAAACGAAACTAACTTCCAAAAAGAAAAAAAAAAACAAAAAGCAAATCAAGTACAGAGATCAAAACTGAAACTAAAACCTAAAACTAACAGCAAAGCAAAAGCAGGAAGGAGTGTGTTTTCCCAAATGCCAGGCCTTAGCCAATTGAATATTGGCAATTATATTATTGGCAATTGCTAAAAAAAAAAACAACAACAACAAAAAATAACAAGGAACAACAACGACGAAGAACGAACAATCCGAGAAGACAAAGATACAACAACTGACTGAGAAGAACACTGAAGAAAGCAAAGCCCACGAATGCAGCCAACATTGCCACAAGCCGCTGGGACAGCCGATATGGATCTGACGGCTGTTCAATCAATCAACGATTGGTTTTTCAAAAAGGAGCAAATTTATTTATTGGCACAATTTTGGCAACAGGTAAGTCACCCACATTACACCCAATGGTTATCCAATGCGATTATTGTTGGTTCTATTTTTTTTTATCGGAAAGCAAGCTAAAAATATTTTGGATATTCACAATGCGCTCTCTTCACATGCCTGAAAATCTTGGAATTTTTCCTTGTCTTGTTTGGCATTTAATGGGCGGGGTTTTGTGTCGTCTCTCGGTTGAATTTTAAATGAATGAAATGCAGTGTGTTTATAAACAAACAACGGTGAAATATATATATCGGAAAGTAAGGGAAGTGCTTTTGAAAAGTTGTGGGAAAAATAAAGTGAACTTAATTAGGGACCCCTAAGAATTAGTTTTGGGATTTGGGGAGAAACGTTTCTTAGTGATATTTTTTATTTACCAGTGAAAATAGTGTAAAAAAAAAAATTACAAATAAATATCTAAATAAAGGAATGAGGAAGGAAACATGTCAAAATATTAGTTTCTTAATTTAATAGATATTTCTATACATTTTTATATAAACTTTTATAAATTACAAACATTTTAAAACAAAAATCTGTTACAAATTAAATAGAAACTTACGTTTCGTAAACATTTTTAAAATTAAATAAATAAATAAATACTTTAAATTAAATTGAAAATATTTAGATTTTCCCAAGTCATTCAAATGATTAAAAACTGTCCAAAAGTGTGGCTAATCTTATGCGACTTCCCTAAAATATAAATATATATTTATTTATAATATATATTCAGTGCGATCTTATATCCAACTCCCACAACTGACAACAATAACCCCCTCGACCGCCCCCAGAGAGCCGCCCCCACCGTAACTGCTTAACTTAACTTAAGTTAACTAATTGAGTTTGCGTGTCTACGGCAAATGTGTTTTTATTGTTGCTGCTGCTGCTTCTGCCTCTCTCTCTCTCTCTCCAGTTATTGTTGTCTAATTTCTTGTTGTTAATTTATTTATTATTGATTTTTGCACAAAATTTGTTTACAAAACAAAAGGAAAAATGCAAAGTGCAACAAGCAAATTGTAAGTGAACAATTTATTGCTTGAATAACTGAGATATACGAAAGGCTGCTAATAAACCAGACAAGATCTGAGACTGGAAAATCAGGGAGGCGGAGGGAGTGGTGGAAAATCGGGGGGGCCCACCAGACGACGATGCAAAATTTCTCTGGCCAAATGCCAGACTCTCAACAAATAAGGCGGCAAAATAACATTAAAAACAAAAAAAAATATATAAAGCCCAGACCAGACATGGAAATATCAACTCGTATATTTCAGTATTTCCATATCTATATAGGTATATATATATATGTATATAGCAAGTTAATTAGGTTGCACTGCCTGTGCATTTTTAATTGGAGTTCTTCTTCGATTGATCCTGAAAACACAGACACAGAGGGGAAAATCTAGGTGGAAATTTATAGTTTTGCCGTCGGTGAATTGCATTAGCCAAACAGTGCTCGCCATTTTTGCTGCAGCCATAAAAATAATAAAACTAAGCAAAAACCGGTATATAAATATATATATTTATCTTTATATATATATATATATTTATATATATTTCTTGTTACCCACAACAAAGTCGAAAGCAAAGCCGCAGAACTCGTTAGGATGGCCAAGATATATGGGGTTCTTCTTCTCCTTTTTTATTTTTTATAAAATGTACTCGCTAACGATCGTCTACCGATGATCGATTGCAATCAATGAATCAATATTTGAGCTTTTTGCCTCTCCGAATTAGAACTCCGGAGCAATATTTATTAATTTGCCAAACCAAAAATAGAAGTTTTGTTAAGTAAATGGAAGCACACAAAGCCGCAGACGCCGTCTACAGCTGTCCAAATGTGTTGATGAAATTGAAATACTTTCTCGCTTATTTATTTATTTACTTGGAACGACCAAAGAAAAAAAAAACAAGCAAAAAAAATTGACACAAATCGAAATCGAAAATTTAACAATAAAAATGTGCTTGAATTAACATAAAGTTCTTTTTTTAGCCATTAAATATAGAACGAAGTGGTTAAGAAAAAAGAACTGAATTTCCGTATAGAGACCCCGTAATGCAATCTATAAACTTGACCCATTAACATCGAACCGAGTTTTTGGCTTCTATAATTACTAGAAGAACGATTTCTGCTGATCTGGGGAAACTCGAAAATGGAAAGAAAACAAAACAAAGCTAATTGCCAAATGCATTTGCTGACAAAAATAGAGCTAAAAAAAAGATGATAGAAATTCGAGTTTTGGGTTTTTTTTTTTTTTTTGACGCTTTGGGTTCCGTTTTAATCGAATTGAAACCGGTTATATAGGGTAGGCCACCACCAGGGCCAGATGCAGATGCAGATACACAGATACGGATACGGGAATACGGGGCATTGATAGTTTATAGGGTATAAAGTTTATAATTTTTTTTTTTTTTAATTTTAATTTCAAAGATGGCGTCCGAGTCCTGCTGGCCGCCGAAAATGAGCAGCCGGTGGAAAAGGGGTTGTCTCTCGGTCTCTCTAAGCCCTTAAACACACATAGAGAGCAGCAGAGATACAAAGATACTGAGATACTGAGATACTGAGATACATAGATACGGATCGCGGCGTGTGTCGTATAATTTTTAGCGTTTTAAGTGCACAGCACCCCGAGCTAATGAGTCACACAGGCCGGCAAATAATATATGTATATGCACAAAAAAACAAAAATTAAAGGGGTTAATATTAAGAATCACAGACCAAAGACCGAACTCGAACTGAATTCAACCAACCAACCACCCACACACAGAGCACAGATACAGATGCACAGATACACAGAGAACGACGAAAATATTTCAGTCAGTTCAATCGTTCGATCGCTGGAAAGATATGTTAATATAATTAAATTAATTTGTCAGCACGGAAATTAAAACACAACAGAAGCAGCGGCGACCGAAATATCCGCAGCGCCTAGTAGCCCCATACCCGTTCCCGTACCCGTACCCGTACCCGTAGCTGTATCTGTATCTCTGCCAAAGTATCTATAACAACGCGACGAAACGAGACGAATTCGAAATGAAAATCGAACAATTAAAAGCTTGTGGGGGTGGAAAGAGATGCCGATGCCGATGCCGATCTATCTGAACTCGAACTCGATCCGAGAGCCACGCAACACAACTAATAATGTGAAATAAAAAATCATTTGGAAATTATTATTAAAAATTGAGTTCATGAACTGTGTGTGCTCGCGAGTGTGTGTGTGTGTGTCTGTTGATCAATTTTTATTATGATCATTGGCCGTTTCCCCTCCACTCTTTTCCGGTTTTTATGGCATTAATTATGAATAGCCATTGAAGCTAATTGAAGTCCTCCAGCTAACTTGGGTTAACTAATCATCGAAACGCACTTCAAACTTCAATGTAATTAGGTGATTTTCTACTCAAAGAACTCGGTAATCAATTGAAAATTGTTTAAGCAACCCTCTGGTTAACATTTTTTTATAACTTTTATAAGAACTTTTGTAGATACTTTAAATTTTTATTAGTTTTGTCAATGATTTTGTTTAGGAAATGTTGGTTAGATATTTGTATACCAAAGTTGGTTGAGTTTCAGCACTTCCCAACTATCCTAACCAGCGAATAACCTCAAGTAACTCTGCTTGTAGCCATCAAAACCAGCTGAAACTCTACATACTTTTGGTAAATACCATAATCAGTAAATATATTATGGTATTCAGCTGAAACCTCCTGAGCAACCTCATGGAACTCAGCCTGGAGCCATCAAATCGAGCTGAAACTTCACACTTTCGTAGACCATTGGGGGGGCAGGAGAACCAGCTAACACTAATTGAGCATAAATATCATAAATGCTAAATGCGCTTTGCGTGGTGTGCATCAATTGTCATTGCATCATTAATTCCGCATCTAGACGAACCGACGTCGTCGTCGTCGTCGTGGTCGTCTGTCTCACAAAAGCCAGCCTGCCGATGCCAAAAATGAAGAAGCGGCAAAGAAAAGATTCGACGGCTTTTGTGTACAACTTAATAACAACTAATTGTCTTTTTATATGCATATATATATACATATATATATATACGAGAGGGATATAGGAAAAGTAAAGTAAAAAAAAAGGGGTACAGGATGGGGCATTCATACGGAAACCTGTCTTGAAAATCTCTCTTTGTTTTTTATTTGTGTTTGTGTGTGTGTGTGCGCGCTGGTTCCTCTTTCATCTTTCAGTTGTCAGTAATTTGTGCAGCTCAATATATCAGTCGATATCTTATGAGTTTTTAATTTCAGGTTTCTCATGTGCGCCATCAATGGCCAAGTCTTCTCTCTCCCGTCTCCCGTCTCAGTGTCCATCAATTTGATTTCCTCGCTTGAAAAGGACAAATCGTTAAGGGGGAACCCAAAGCCGGGAAAGAGCCCCAGAGTCGTCTCTGCTGCTCAGATGTTGAGGATATTGAATAAAATATCATTTTGTGCACGCCCCTTTTTCGAGAACCAAAACTTGACCATGTGATGTGATGTGATGATGATGAGTTTTGAGTCCAGAGGAGAGACTCTGCCTATATTGGCAACATTTTGTGTTGTGATCGATATGCTGAATGCTAAAAAATGTTAAATAAAAAAAAAAAATAAAGAAGCAGGCTAAAGCCAAGAGCAAAGTCCTCCGTAATGACCAACGCCCGAGGAGTAGACATTAAAAAGGAATCATCATTATTGGCAGCCAGGAGGGGATAAAGGATTTTTTACGGGGGGACTCCCCATTAGCCTCTTGATCTTTTCTTCTTTTTTTTTATTTTAAGCAGAATTCTTTTAGCCCGAAAAATTTTTGCACAGTTACATTAACATATATGTATATATTTTCCTTTTTGTTTTTACAATTTTTTATTGATGCCTTAATTAAGTTGTTGGTTTTCTGCGCCCACACGCCAACGCCCCAAAGAAGACGACTCTTCAATATGCATTCCGTCTGCCGTCTGGCGCGGTCTTTTTTTTCTGCTTTTTTTTTTTTTTTTATTATTTTTGGCACGACATGAAAATTAGTT